TTTTATTATTATATGTTGATGATATTTTGTTAATCGTCTCTTCCCATTCTATGTTATACAATGTCACTGCCTCTGTCAAATCCGAATTTTCTATGAATGACTTGGGTTCCATACATCACTTTCTTGATGTTACGATCACTTCTAATTCGGATGGGTATTTTCTACATTAGTCCAAATATACTCTTGATCTTTTAACCAAGAGTGATCTTTTAAAGGCCAAACCAGTAAGTACTCCCCTTGCGAGTAAATCCTCAGCTACTACCTCAAATGATCTAGTTTACTCCAAACCCACCTTTTATCGTAGCCTGATTGGTGCTCTACAATATTTGACTTTCACTCGCCCAGACATTGCATTTGCGGTTCATCATGTTTGTTAGCATATGCATGCTCCACGAGATTCACATTTTATAGCAGTCCAACACATTTTGCGTTATCTAAAAGGAACAATGCATTTTGGTCTTCAATTATATAAAAGCAACTTTGATCAGATTTTAGCTTATTTGGATGTTGATTGGGCGGGCTGTCTAGACTCTTGTCGTTCCACTACTGGTTATTGTGTTTTTATTGGTTCAAATCTTGTCTCTTGGAGTGCCAAGAAACAACCAACTGTTTCTCGTTCTAGTGCCGAGGTGGAATATCGATCTGTGGCATATCTTATTGCTGACACTTACTGGATACAATCTTTGCTTCGAGACTTACATGTTACACTTCAGCTACCACCAATAGTTTACTGTGACAATATCAGTGTCACATATTTGGCCATCAATTTAGTTCAACATGCTCGCACCAAGCATAGGGAAGTGGATATTCACTTTGTTTGTGAATGTGTTGCTTGGGGTCAACTACAAGTTCTTCATGTATCTACTCATGATCAATTGGCGGATATGTTTACTAAGAGCTTACCTATTGTTAAGTTCAAGGAATATCGGTCCAATCTATGCGTGATATCATGTGTATTAGACTGATATCATGTGTTATATATTAGGGATAGTTTTTTAATTACACAATGTACTCTTCTTATATATATATGATCACACACCATACTTGGTGGTGTGGAATTCCATATTTCTTCATGTTGTGTTGTTGGGCAGTGGTTTCAAAATGGGTGGTGTTATTTGCTAATGAAATTATAAATTTTAAATAACATGACTATTAATTAACATTTTAATGAATGTGATTACTAATTAACATATTAATTAAGCAGACTATAATGATTAAATTCTTAAGTTGTTTGAATAATTAAAAAATATGATGTTAATATTATAATTAATGTTAATATAAATGTGGGGTTTGATAAATTTATTTTTTGAATATAATTTCATTTGAACTCTTCAAATTAATTCAATAGGGCATTCTTGGTATTATAAAAAAATATTTTTGATGCCATCAACATTGACCATTAGTTTTCTCTAAATTCATTAGTTGAAAGGGGTGTTACAGTTACAAGTTTCATATCTCAAGGGGCTTCAGTGTAATTTTTGAAATGTGAGAGGATATTCGTGCAATAAAACTAAATGTCAGGAGATGTAAGTGATATTTACCCTTAAGCTTTTGAACTAATTTAGTGTCAATTTAAACCGTCAATTATGTTATTTGACTCAATGTGACCCTTTCATCCAAATCTAGTCTTTATTTTAACGAAACTCTCAAGTGCACGCCACATGAGTTAGAGATTAAGATAGTTAAGATCATTCACGTGATGTTTTGTAAGGTGATCCATTAAAGTTAGCAACAAATTTCAACAGATGACGATATTGAGTTAGATAATATACTTAAAAAGTTAAATTGACCCAAAAATTAGTTTAAAAGCTTATTTGACACAAATAACATAATCCAGAGAACATCTATGTAATTTAGTCTTTTGGATGTGAGTGAAAAAATAAATTAATCAACTTATTATAAAGCACAAATAAATTTATTATTTATTACTAATACTATCAAAAAAATATATGATCTTATCTATTTGATTAGGTATTATACCAATTAATATAAATCTGAAAGACTTCTTAAAAAAATTTACTAGCAAGAAGGTCAAATAGATTTATTTTTTGTGGGGTTTACAATAGTGTACTTAATTAAGAGATATACATTCCCCTTACACTTTGCCCTTAACCCACAGAGGCCCCTAAGGTTTAAAATTTGACACTACCCTAAAATTTTCATGTGAATAAGGAATTAAGGATAACCTAGAAATTGATGAAAATTGAATTAGAGCATATTAAATAACTAGTTATTGCATGTGCCTGAAGGCACAGAGTAATAAAAAATGATAAATAATAAATATATTTGTATTTATATCCAAAATCAAATCATAAACATAGAGAAGAGATAAATGAATTTAAGTATCGATTTGTAGTGGGGATGAGAGATGATGAGCGGCACTGGTGGTGGTAGGAGACGGTGATGGTTGTGGTAGGTGACAATGACCGTGGTGGCGGCGGCAAGAGCAACGGTGATGGTGGTGGCAGCGGCGGCGGTGGTGATAGAGGTAGTGGTGGGGTGGTTTCAAACACTTTTTAAAAAACAAAATATTTATGAGAAATAATTTCTAGAAGTATTTTTAAAAAGTCAATCCAAACACACCCTTAGGGATTATTTTTTCTATTAAATTTAGGATGTTAATATTAGCCGTTAGATTAACTTTAAAGTAAAATTTAAAGCAATCTCAACCGCGAATAGTAAAAGTTATTTTATTTATCTTTTGAGATTTGAATTGTAAACTACTTTATTATATAGATTAACAATAATCTCGTTGTTGAAGATACTTGTAATACTAAGAATTAAACATTGATTGTGCAATATTTTATATTTTAAATAATTATTTAATTTTTCTTTAATTATGTAATTTAAATTGAAGTGAACAAAAAGAAAATATGAGAGAGATAAGAAAGAAAGAAGAAAGAGCTAGGTGTGAATTATTAGGGTTGTCTGACATTAGGGAATATGTTGGTTGAATTATATGACATTGCTTATGGAGAGAAGATGATGTTTTTTTAGCGAAAAAAGAAAATTAGAATAAATTTTATATCATTGAATCAAAGTAGATAAAAATTATATCAATCTTGACCGTTATTATACTTTTATAAGTTAAAAATTTAACTTTCTAATCATAATAGTATTTAGATATAGATAATAAGAACGGTAATATTCATGAAGATGTCACAATCGTGAGTCAATCAATTTAACGGAAGTAACCTTTCAAGAGGCAAAGTGAATAAATGGAGAAAAAAGTGTCAATGGCTCGAAGAATTACATCACTATCTATTATACCGAATACATTTAATATTAATTTTTTGGAATTCGAAGTGACATAATTCCTTCAATAATAAAATTGAATAATCAAAGTCTCTTTCTGGTTCAATCAATAAGATCGTATATTTTTTAAATTAAAACTCTGCTAAGACAGACCTCTTTTCAAATTAACTAAACCTCTATTTCACATTCATAAAAAATGTGTTCATCTCTTTAGATTGCACAATCCTTTTTAAACGTTCTATTTCATTATTGAAAAAAATAACCTCATCACTTTGGCCCTTTTAATGGACATTCTTAGCTTTCTCGGGGGGGTTGACATCCCATAGATCAAAGCTTACACTATTTTAGCCTTTTATTTTCATTTGATTGGGGCAGACGCATTGCATTACTATTCGTTATCCAGAGTAATATACCATTTTTCTTGCTTGAAAACAATTTCGTTGAAATATATACAATATCATGTACTAACTCGTCTAAGAACAGGTTAGTTTTAGTATCCAACCTCCAATCCTATCACTAATGCTTATTTATTTTTGGATCGAAGTTCTACCCAGATGGTTGGAGTCCCCTATAAAGGGGTGACAGATTGACGGTTCGAGTCCCCCTCCCCTCCCCTCCCCTCCATTATAGTGTAAAAATATCGTTGCTTATCCAAAAAATAAAACTTTTAAAATTAACTTCTCATTGATGTATTGTTTCCTCCACCCAAACCCCAATACTAATGTACTGTTGGTAACTTTTTCAAAGTAATTTTTAAAAATTGAAAGAAAATGATCGAAAAAAATATATATTTTTCAAGAGCAAGATATATATTTTTGGAATAGAAATAGAGAATTGAACATATACTTGCATAAGCAACTAGATAAGCAAGTAAACTTGGAGGAAGAGTAAGTCAGACAAATAAAAAAACAAAGTATACAAAACAAAGATTACTTCAAAAAACATCAAAGCAAAAAACAAAAAACATTTAAGAAAGTGTTACCAAATCTTACTTAAATTTCAAAATGAAGGACCAACATCACACTTGTTTTTGCACCTCATTTATCGAGCTTTTCGTCCCTTCAAGTCTGTCAAACACACACATGGACTATAGCCACAGGCGTTAGCAGCCAGATTACTATCATATGCAAGTCAGACAGGATAGTATTAACAACCATGGCAGATACTAAATTAATAAATCAGTACAATATAATACATTTGTGGCTCTCTCTTACTTGTAAACCTGTTATTCACATACCTGTAGACAGAGAACATTCCTACCATTTCTTGCAGCCACAATCATCTTACATAAAACTCAAGTAGGCCATGAAGCAAATAATAGATGCAACACAATGAATCCACTGTGTTGAATGACTTTGCAAAGAAGTTATCAAAGAGTTTGCCAAGAATTTGGAAGTTTTCCCTCTAGGGCTGTGGCTGTGTGTAAAACAAATTGTTCAACAAAGTACATAACAGAAAGAAAATTATCCCAGTCACTGACCATGCATTAAACCTAGCTCCGACGTAGTGCAGCAGCAAGAGGAGAAATAAAGCTAGGTTTGAACCAGAAATTCTTGAAGCAGTGAGGAAGGTCGGGGATGTTCAGAGGCGAGTACATTTCAGTCCCTTCTGGTGCTTCAGGGGAAAAACGAGTGAACAGATCCCTTACGGAATGGTTTCGAGTGGTCACCCATAATAAGTAACTTTCGTCGTTAAATTTACCAATCATTTTATAGTGCAAGTTAGAAGTCCACTTAACGCTAGTATCATATCGCTGTTGGCGACTCAAATGAAAAATCTCCAACCTTGTTTCCTGTTACTCTCCATATTTTCATCAGATGCCTATCATGTTCTGCTAAAGTCAGACTTCCCTCCAAATCCATCATATCCACATATGGTCGAGGGCGTGAAAAATTGTCGACAAAAGAGATGACTTGAAACGTCTCATCACTGACATCAATGGCAAGGATGTGGATACTCCAATAATTAGGAGAAATTCTGTTCAGCATTTGACAGTAAAACACCCCATTGCAGAATACCACACTGCTTGCCTGCCAATCAAGCATGGGGACATCTAATTCTCTCCATGAACTTTCTCCAAGGGAAATAATCTCAAACCTGCTGACTTCCTTACCTTTTCTAATTCCACGTTTCCGAACAACTTTATACTTTCCAGTTGAGGAATCAAAGCCCAAACTAACCATATAACTTGATGGCAGGCGTTTTGAACCTGACGGCAAAATCATCTGCTCTCCTGTAATAGGGTTGTAGTTGCACAGAGGATCTGGCCTGCCATTCCAAGCTTTAATGCAGAGCAAACCATTGCAAGAAGACAGGATTTGGAAGTCTTCTCAAGGCACTTTCTCGACTGGGATCTGCCTAGTTATGCATTCGTCAATATCAACCACAGGTAGTTGACTTATATTAAAGATTGACCCTCCCCAACGTAGTGGTTCAAGGATAAGTCGATTTTTTGACCTACTGAGTTGCAACTTGATGAAACAGTCATGTCGAGTCACGCAATACCAACTCTTGCAAACAATTCTGCATGTCAAGATCGATTCTAAAGGAAGCCTAGATAGAATATCTGAGATTATCCATAATGGAAGATCATTAACTCCCTTGATTAACTGACCTCTGTAGTTTTGATATAATGCTACCCTCAACTCCACCATTGCAGTAGTAAGATTTTCTGCACCCACCTTAACAAGCTTTTCTGTTAGAATATTTTTACCAATGAACTTCCCAGAACAAAACAAAAGCAAAGATTCTGTGGCATAAAGTAATATTAAAGAAAAGCAATTGGGAGGCAGAAGCATCAAGCATTAACAAACTTCGCACGACTAGCATGTCATATAAAATATTTAACAGGTAACAACATAAATTTAGATCAAATTTAACGTATTATCTTATGTGTACCGTGTTAGTGCCACCAAAATAAAATTAGATAAATTTCATAGCAATAAATATTCAAACAAAATATGTTTCAGAAGGGTGAGGGGTGGGGGGACTATCGTGCATATGATTTAAAGTCATAACGAATACGACCATATATATTGTTTAGTAACATTCAGAGTGTAAAATTTATTCATCAGGTGACTTGCATAAGTACAGTTCTTTGTTTCATTGTTGCCATTTTTAGGGGGAGAAAACAAAAACTCCCCAGCAAGCATTGTTTCTAAAATAGACACACCAATAGAAGGGAAAAGAAGAAGCCTGTATAGAAACCTACAATAAGACTAGAGAGAAGAAGAAGAAATAAAGCATTTTCTTCTGCAAGCCAATCAAGTCTGAAGCAAGTAAAACACTATAACTAGAATAAAGTGCTGAAAAAAAATTCCCTCAGCTCCCCTCAGCTTCTCCTCCAAAAGCATGTGAATCAACTGAACTAATATACTTGGGCAAAGCACTTGTTGACAGATATGCTTCAAATTAGGAAGATTTTAGGCACAAGAAAATAAATTAAAACATCTTTCCTATAATATAGTTTTCAAGTAAGAACCTCTTGATGTATCATTTCTGCCATATGGGATGTGAATATGAAGGTGATAGAAATTATAGACTAGCTGTAGGGTAAAATTCAATTCAAGCGAAAAAGCTAAAATGAAGTTATGTTCTCATTGTGTTATTTATATGTCCTAACACTTGATGGATGATATTCAAAGGTCTCTAATCCTGATTACTAGTCTAAGTTTTTGGTTTGTGTCCAAATAAGAATCATTCATTCTTGAGAACCACAGAACTTCATAAGGGCAATGCTTAAAACATTATATAAGCCCACTGCAGCGACAGGATAGGAATATGAGACTGATCCACCTGTCATGTACAGTCATACCACCAGAAAATTTGTGCAAAGTAAAAGTCACCTCCAACATCAGAAAACCTCATAAATGTATTGTGTGTCATTTCATTAGCACAAAGATCATAGATAATATCAGCAAAGCACTTTACAAACACACAGCCAACACTATTCGGTTTATTCATTCTAGTTTCTCTTCTGTTCATTTTTGGGGGAGGAAAAGGAAAAGGAAGGGGGAGAAAAATGGCATCAGTATAGTGAATGCACCACACCGCCATTTAAGTGATGCCATTGGAAAATGCCACCAGTCACTATTTGAGCCTGATAATTACAATCATTGCTACTGCCAACTATGTTTCCACCAGCTCTCCCAAGGCCAACTCAACCATTGCTACATCCATCACCAATGAATGTCATTGCTGCCACCATTCTGAGAGGCTTAGAGCAACCGTCTAAACTGAGATATCTGCAGTCACTATCACGCAAGGCTTGAGAATCAAGAATCAACTCCTACACATAATCTGCAACCACAATTTGCATTGGAAGGCATCCCTTATTCACCACCACAATTGCCACCACCAAAATCAAATCGACACCATCTTCACCATCAGGATAAGCAGCTGCTACTTAAGCACCACCTCCACCACTACAATTAGAAAACACCTTTCATCACAATGAGAATTGCCACCAACTACAACAGTATTACTTTCACCACTGTCTCCACCACCAAAAAAAGCAACTTGTCAATATGTCATCACCTCCACCACTGTAGTACCTTCTTACTGCACTACAAGCACTTCAGTAATCCCATCACCTTAGCTTCGGTTCTCCTAAACGCCTCTATCAGGAAAGTCAACTTTTCATGCTGCCACCACCATAATCTTTCAGTTATTCTCCTCAGAACTAGAGCTTCGTGAGAATCATTAAAAGTTCCCAAATGACATACAATTAACTTTTTGACATGTCATTGACTAAGTATAACATTATCTTTAAATTAACTCTACAAAATGCCATTTTTGGCTACTTCATTATTTACCTGAATATATATAAAAAAAAAAAAAAAAAAAACCTGCATGCCCAATGTTACTATTCCAATGCTTTAAAAATAAGGATTTACTCTAGCCACATCAAATTTCATAATTACCTAACATCCTTAAGATTCTCCCTCTTCCCCTAATTTTCTTCTGAAAAGTCAAGCATGTATTTGGTCCTAACCGAAAGTGGTTATCATGAAAAAGTAACATCTTGCATTTGACATCAATCAAATACAGTTAAAAAGTTCTAACATCATTTACATGCCAGATTCCAGAAAAAAGTTAGTTAAGATTGTAGAAGTAGTATTAGGGTTTGTGAGAAAGAAGAAGTAAGAGAGAAAAGAGAAAAAAGAAGAGAATAAGATGTTGTATAGGCTATGTTGCTCTATACTCTCTAATTTATAATTGTTAAGTTTAGAGAGTTAATATAGTATTAGAGAAACATAGAGTGGTCAAACTTAACGTACCTCTCACTAACAACTTGTATTTATAATCATTTCATAAACATACAAAAGACGGATATATCCTTTAAGAGGTAATTACATGATAATAATACTCTCAACACTGCCCCTCAAGATGGACTATATGTATCATATAATTCAAGATTGGAACAGATAGTTGTAAGACGAGTACGACTTAATACTTTGGTAAACATGGTTGCAAATTGATCATCAGATCTCACAAATGGAGTTGTAATATCTCAAATTATTATCTTGTCTTAAATAAAGTGACAATCAACTTTGATATATTTGGTGCTCTCATGAAATACTGGGGTAGTAGTAATATGAATAGCCGTTTGATTATTACAAAACAATTGTAAAGAAGACTGAACTAGAAAGTCAATTTCCCGAAAGAAGTGTAATAACTATGTCAACTCACTAGTTGTATGTGTTATTGCTCTATAATCAGCCTCAACATTGAATCTTGCTACCATTTTTTGTTTTTTACTTTTTTATGTGACAACATTACCTCCCTAGAAAGTACAATAACTAATAATTGATATCCGATTTGAGGGAGAACCAGTCCAATTAGCATCCGAAAAATCTTCCACCTCAAGATGTCCATTGGCTCAATACAACAAGCTAAGACCTGGTGCACATTTGAGGGATCAAAAGATACGAGTAACTACCTCCCAATGTTGGACTCTAGGGCATCCTATAAACTGACTTACCACACTAACTACAAAGGCAATATCCAGTCAGGTAATAGTGAGATAATTGAGTTTCCCAATCAACCTACGGTACCAACCCGGATTCTTTAACCGTGCACCATCATCCACCAACAATTTCTGGTTCAAATACATAGGAACATTAATTGATCTGCCACCCAGCAAACTTACTTCTTCTAACATGTCACTTACATATTTTCTCCGAGATAAACAAATACCCTGCAGAGATCTGGCAAAACCTTAATACCCAAAAAACACCATCATCCATCAATAACTTCTAGTTCAGATCCATAAGAACATCAATTGGTTTTCCAACTAGCAAACATGTTTCTTCTAATATATCAAGTACATATTTCCTCTGAGATAAACAAATACCTTACTTAGATCTAGCAAAACCTCAATACTTAAGAAATACTTGAGTTTTCCTAGATCTTTAATGTGAAATTGATCCTACAAGAAGATTTTTAACTTGACAATACCCTCAGAATCATTACCAGTAATGATAATATCGTACACATAAACAACCAATAGAGTTTACCCTACATCAGTTTGTCTGTGAAAGACAGAGTGTTCTGTTTGACACCGAAAAAGACCAAACTTTAAAACTGCATCTAAAAACTTACCAAACAATGCCCTCAGTAACTGTTTCAAACCATACAAAGATTTTTTTAACCGCACACAGTCATATAGTACTCCCCTAAGTAGTAACCCAGGTGGTTACTCTATGTAGACCTCTTTAGCCAACTCACCATATAAGAAGACATTCTTAACATCTAACTAAAATAAAGGTCAATCACGATTAGCAACCAAAGAAATTAATACATGAACATAAAAAATTTTGGTAACAAGAGAAAAAGTCTACTTATAATCAACACCGTAAGTTTAAGTAAAGCTCTTAGTAACAAGACGGACTTTAAGATGCTCAACAGAATCATCTAGATTAAATTTAACTATATACACCCATTTACAACCGACAGTCCATTTATCTGGCGGTAAGGGAACAAAATTCCAAGTCCCATTATGATGTAAGGCATCTATCTTCACTTTCATAGCTTTCCTTCAACTCGGATCAGTCAATGCACCTTATAAGATTTTAGGAATAGAGATAATAGATAATTGAGAGGTAAAACAAGAGAAGACTGGAGACAAGGCATCATAAGAAACAAAATTAGCAATATGATGGTTAGTCAACACAATTGAGTACCTTTCCGAAAAACAATATGTAAAGAGTCAGAAGTACCTAAGGGACTAGGATCATGAAACTACAAAGAAGATGGCAGGGGCACCTTAGTCAATGATCATGGATGACGGCAGTATAAACAAAGTGGGGAAGTAGATGGTAGTACAGTAGGCAACGAAAATAGCCGACGGTAAAAGAAGGGCCGGTGGTGTAGTGGACATCCAAAAGTCAAAGATCTAGAGGCAAATCAGGAGCTAAAAAAATACTAAACAATTTCATTAAAGGTGACATCAACACTAGTGAAGTACCGATGTGAGACTATAGAAATGATAACCCTTCTATGTGCGGGAATATCTAAGAAAGATACACTTGGTAGTACGAGGGTCAAGTTTATCAAACTCGGGTCTCAAGTTATAAACATAATAGACACACCCAAAGACTTTAAGAGTAAAGAAAAATAAGAGATTATCAGGAAAAATGACAGAATATGGACTTTGCCCATTTAGCACAGAAGATGGCGTACGATTAATAAGGTGACAAGCACTGAGAACAACATCACTCCAGAATTAATGAGGAAGATTCATCTAGAATAACTATATATGAGTAACTTTTAATACATAAACCCACAACTTCATATTCTCCACTACAAGGGTCTTAACAAAAGCCCCAGATCCAACGACGCGTAACAGAAGCCCTAGATCCAATGCCACTACAACATTGCTAGAAGCCACACCATGCTCTGGTAGACCCTTCATTGATCTTCGGCGACTACAACACAACGACAACCACCAACAACACCACCTCACACCACACCACAACAATCATAGCAACACAAATCACAACGACGTCTGTGATCCAAGGAAGCCACTTAACGAGCAACCCAACGAAGCCAAGCCACTCGACGAGCACTCCGACGGTGTATTGCCTCACACCACCTCCGGCGACCACCACACCACCAATGAGATGATTCCTGTCAACATACTAACACCAAACACAAATCACAAGCACCAAATCCAATCACACACACAACCATGAACTTCACAGATTACCCACAACACTATACTATAGTCATGGGCTGCACAAACTAACTGGCAGGCGAAGAAGGGGAAGGGGAAGGAGTAGGGAAGAGAAAAAAAGGTTGAGGTTGTTAGTTCAAAATCCTCAATATCAAAGAAAGGTTAATTGCAGACTTTGGATTAAAAAACTCGCTTTGATACCATGTTAAGTTTAAAAAGTTAACACAATATTAGAGAAATAGAGAGTAGTCAAACTTAACCTACATCTCACTAACAACTTGTATTCATAGTTATCTCATAAACATACAAAGGACAAATATACCCTTTAAGAAGTAATTACATAATAATAATACTCTCAACAATAATAAACCAACATTATAAATAATTATATTATTACCCTACGCTTCTAATAATATAAAATAAAAATTCTAACACTCTCCCTCAAGCTGGAGTATAAAGACCAAAAATATACAATTTGGAACAAAGCTTAGTGAAGACAGATTGAGCCAATGGTTTAGTAAGAATATCACCTAACTGATCACTAGACTTGATGTATGGTATGATAATCTCTTTTCGCATCATGAAATCTCGAACAAATGAAAATCTACTTCAATGTGTTTAGTCATCTCATGAAATATTGGATTACTGGCAATGAAAATAGTCGTCTAGTTGTAGGTTGTTACAATGCAGTATAAGCCATGGCCTAGTAATCAACAACTGCACTCAAACGTGCAACTACATTTTGTTTCTTACTACGACACGTCGATAGATTGCCACCAATAAATAT